GGGGGGGGGGGGGGGTTGAGTGTTGGCTTTGGCCAATTCCTTTCTTTGGGGTTCTGGGGGGGGTCTGGGTAAAGGAGGGCGGCCTGCATGCTGCGACCTGGCTGATTGTCATGCGCCGCGGCGGTTTATCCCGGTGAATTTCCTGGCTTGTCTCTCTTGCTTGCGGCTTCTCCATGAATTGCCAAGTGTTTGCCTTTGCAGCCGCAAAGCTGGGCGGCCATGCAGGCACAGTCTGAATGCGCCCCACTCCCCCACACCAATGCACCGTCCTGGCATGTCTAGAAGTTGATTTTCCTCTTCGATGGGCTTGTCGCCCATTTGCAGCCCCGCCTGTGACTGTTTATCTGATTGCCTGCTTTGTTGGTTTGGAGTTGCGCACCTGCTTAGTGAACGGCACTCTGGCAAGCACTCGCTCGGCAGCGCGGCAGTTCCACTGCGTCGCCAGCTCAGCTCGCACGGCCTGTCATGCGCGTGCGGAGCAGCTGACAGATGCATTCTGATACCCCCCCCACACACACAGCCATTCACGCGCACTCCTATACTCCGCCCCAACGTTTTGCCTGTCAATTGAGAACCCTGATTACACTGTTGGCGCACTGCGCTGGCGCTTGCACGATCTAGCCGACCAGTCACGGTAAAATTGCGGCCAGTGGCCACGGCTTGTATCCACAAATTGAAGCCTGCAGTCTGCAGGAGCATCACAAGCGCGCCCAGGGCGGAGCTTCTCACGCCAGACAAAACTGCCGGGGTCGGGGACACAGGGGGCAGTCTGCAGCCCCAGCCAGCCGCCCCGAGCGTGGTGCGTTGCCGTCGCTGCCGCTCCACTGCAGCGCCGCCGCCGCCACACCCGCTACTGCCCACAGGTGGGCCCGCTGCACTGGCGCCGCTGGTGAGCCACGCAGCTGCGGGCTGCGAGCGAGTGACTTAGGAGCTCCTTGCTGACCTAGCATCTGACCTAGTATCTGAATTCCTGTGGGGCACTTGGGATGCGCGCGGGGCTGGTGCCAAGTAGGATGGGGAAGTTCGTTGACTGTGTTTGACCTCCCTCTTGATGTTTGACCTCCATCTTGTTACACTATTTTTCAAATCTATGGAACGTTTTGATTCAAGTGCATGCCTGCGAGCTTGGACGCCTCATTTGCGTTGCAATGCTTATTTGGGTTTCGAAAACTGCCGGGCCGGGAGGGCTCGCGGGCAGCAAGGATCAGGAGTGCACGTGCTTAGGGGGGAACCGCGCAAGCATCCATTTGCGCAGGCGCTTTGCCGCGCGCGGCGCCCGCGCTCTGCGGTGGCAAGGGGCCACAATGCGCGCTCTGACGATCGATCAGGGTGCCGGACGGGAGGTGGGGGGGGGCAGTGGTGAATTTGGTTGCGGCATGGTCCTGCTGTCATAATTTTCGAGTGGGGGCCTGCTGATTTCCACCGCGGCCGAGCCCAGCAGGCCAGAGAATTGGTCGCGTCGGCCCTCAGAGCCGCCGTTCCGAATCGGAAGGAAGGGGAAGGGCCGGGGTTGCGGGGGCGGGCTCCCGGCCAAAGTGAGCCGTGCAGCTCGCGCCCCGCATGTCGCCGGCTGGCGCGGGGCGGCGGCGCCCTCGGCATAATTGTGGAGGTGGGCGTATGAGAGACGCGCGCGCGCACGTCTGCATGTTTTTGCACCGCCTCAAGACCTCCAGAGACGGCAGGCGAACAAAACGCCTGAGAGTCACTGCTGCGGTCGCATAATCGATGGCACAGGGCGCGCAGAATGCTGTGAATGTGGAGCAGCGCCCACGAGAGGGCCGCCCAGGCACGGGCGAGCACTCGCCGCAGTAGGGCCTACAGCGTGACGCATTGGCGCCAGCGCTCCGTGTGCTTGCGGGGCCGCGGGCGCCGCGCCGGGCGACAAACAGCGGAGCCTCGCCCGTGCTGCCGGCGTATAAACGCGATTGGGAAGTTTCAAGCCGCCCGACGGCCGAGCGCTCAGGAGGGCGGCAATCCTTCGAGCCCGGTAGGGCCTTGGGCGGCGGCGGCGGCGCGCGGCGCTTTGTGGCCGCGGCGGTTCGGGTAATTGGGACGCGGGGGCGCACGCATCCCATCCGGAAGGGGCTAATGTCGGACGAGTGCAGTCGTCCAGGGCAGAAAGGCATTGATAGAGTGCTGCGCTGCTGGCCGCCGCGCGCGGCGCCGGCTGGCCGGGGCGAGCAGCATGCACCGGGCTCGCCCCCGGCCGCAGTGGGGCGCCGCCGGGTGTTGCTGCTTTGAGTTCTGGGTTCTCCGGCGCGATTTGTGAAGCCCATGCCCCGCGGCGGGAAGCAGTGCGGCGGTCATGCGTGCTGGTTGGTGCCTCCGACGCGGCGGGCGCAGGTTGCTCTCTTGCGTCGGAGGAGAAGGGGCGGAGGCCTTCGAACGTGAAGGAGCGAGGGGCGCGTCGGCTGCCAGCGGCGGCGCGCTGGCAGCGCAGGGCAACAACCATGTGGGTGAGGCGTGGCAACCCCGGTGTTGGGGGACGAGGTTAGGGGCGAAATGCGCGCGCCCGGGCCGCTGGGAGTCCTCCACCCCCCAGTCGGCCGCGGGGCGGGGCCCGCAAGCGCGGTTGAATCGAGGGCGGGCTGGTGAGTGGTGGGGTTTGGAAGGATGGGGGCGCTTGCGCGTCGAGCGCGGCCCCGTGCCGCCCGCCGCGTGCACAAAGCGCGCATTGGGCCTTGCATGGGGCCAGGTCGCGGGGCAGTTGTCAGGCAGGGGCGGGGCCGCAAATCTTGAGATGGTTGTGGGGAATCGCCGCTAGCAGAAGGCTCCCGCGGGGGAGAAGCGCCATGGGACGCGGGCACAGGAGTTCTGTAATGGAGAGAGAGAAAGGGCAGGGCGCCTCGGGCGCTCAGGGGCGGGCCTCGCCGCCGCTCGCGCCGCCGCCGCTGCACCCGCTGCTGCCTGCGCGGCTGCCGCTGCCGCTGCCGCTCGCGCCGCCGCCGTCGCAGCAGCTGCTAGCAGCTCCGCCGCCGACGCTGCTCGCGCGGGTGACGCCGCTCGTGCCATCGCCGCTGCTGTTCTGATCACGGCCGCGGGCAAGAGGCCTGTCCGCATCCGACTTGCTGCGCGAGAGCGCGTGCAATGAGGGCCTGCCCCCGCTGCCACTGCCCGCAACTGATGGCGGCGGCGGCCACGCGCGATTATGGCGCCCCACGGGCGGCGGCGGCAACGCGCGTGTGGGGACCGGGGCGGGCACTGGCGGCCAGGTGCGCTTCGGGCCTGCCGGGGGCGCGCCTGCCGCCGCCGCCACGGAAGGTTCATCGGCCGGCGCGGCGGCCGGTGCCGACGCGGCGGCCGGCGCAGGCCCGACAACAAGCCCAAGGGCCGGTGCGGCAGCATCCGCCGGTGCCGGCGCCGGCACCGACGGCAAAGTGCCGCTGCCGGCGCCGCCGCCGCCGCCGGGGTCTCCGCCGCCGCCGTCGCAGTCGGGCGGCGCGTGGGGTGCCAGGAGTGCCTCCAGCCGCTCGGCGATCTGCACAAAAGTGGGCCGCCGGTGGGGATCGACCCCCCAGCATTCCGCAGCGAGGCGCGCGTACAGCGGCGGCGCAGACGGAGGGAAGGCGGGGCGTAGGCCCTTGCGCGTGACGTGATCTGCAATGATACCCTGCGGCAGGCCTGCGGCGGCGGGGGCGGGCGTGTGCGGAGGATGGGGGCGGTGGTGGCGGTGAGGGGAGCAGCATTGGGTGCAACATGATACACGCGTGTGCCTTGTTTTGGCTGCCCGAGCGGGGGGCAGTCGATCCGGGGTCATCAGGCGGCTGCCATATAAAGCAGCCCGGAGTGCTGGCCATGCCAGCGGCGGGGTCAAGAGCGTCTGCTGGCGCAGTGGCGCAAGCACGCGGCGGGGTGCGGTACACAGTTTTGCGAGCAGGGGGGTGTTGCGCACCTTGGTAGGCCTTGCGGCCGCCGGTCCACAGCTCCCACATTAGGATCCCTGCGGGCCGTGGTGCGCGGAGCGGCGATCTTGGTTGTGGAGGTTCCAGTACTGACGAGTCGGAGAGACGGATTGCTGACAGCCCGTTCCATGTCAATTCACCCTGCCCCCCTCCACATGCGCACGCGCGCGCACGCGCGCGCACACACACACACACACACACACACACACACACACACACACACACACACACACACACACTTTCTCCCTCTGACACACACACTCACACTGACACACATGCACAGGCACACGCACTCACACGACCATCCTCCCGCCTAGACACGCGCCGCGCCGCTCACCAAACGCGTAGGAGTCCACTGCTGTCGTGACCTTGCTGCCCGCCTCAAACATTTCCGGCGCGAGGTGGGTGATGGTGCCAGCGCCGCTCAGGTTCAGGGTGTGGCGCGCCTCGTTCAAGATCTTTGCCTGCGTGCGCGGCGAGGCGCGTCAAGGGGCGGGCCCGTAGGCGACGGCAGAGGTCGAGGTCTTGGGTGCTGGTTGGTTGGGACGACGGCAGATGGCCAAAGGCGCAGCGGCGATGTGGCGCCGAGGCATGGCGGCGGGGCACCCAGCCAGCCAGCCCCGAGAGCAGGGCCTGGCGGGCAGCGAGAAGCTCTGCTGAGCAGCAAACGAAAGGCATCCTGCATGCGGCTCGCGCAGCATCGGGTGGACAGACGAGGGAGCAGTCATGGGGGCGCACCAGCCCAAAGTCTCCGAGCTTGGGGGTCATCTTGATGCGCCGCGAGGAGTCCGTTTTCATCAGCACGTTCTCCAGCTGATAAGGGAGGAACGCAGGGGGAGCCGTGAGGGTGGCGGGCCAAGCGTGCGGGCGCCCAGCATGCCATGATCCAGGGCGGAGCTTGGACCCTCAGTGGGGTTCCTGGGTGAGCCAAAGCTTGCCTGGCAGATGGCGCTCACGCAGCGCCTGAGGCCCAGGGTCGCCAGATCAGCCCCGCGCGGTTGCAAACGTGGTGGTGGCGTGTCGAAACACACAGGTGGGGCGATCTGGAAGTGGGGGCCGAGCCGCACGCACCTTGATATCCCCGTGCACCAGCTGCAGCGAGTGGAGGTACTGCATCGCATAGGCCACGTCCAGCAGGATTTCGAGCACCGGCGCCAGGTCCATGGCCGCGCGGCCGTCCACAGGCGGCGCGCGGAAGGCGCCGCCCTTGACCACGTCCCGCAGGGTGCCCTGGTCGCAGTACTGCGATGTTTGGGGTTGAGGGTTGAAGTCGGTACGCAGTGCGTCTGCCAAGGGCAAGGAGGCAGGGTAGCGCTGGGCTGCAGCAGGCTGCACCAGCCGCACCGGCCTGGGCTTTGCTGGGGGAGGGGGCGTCACGCCTGCTACATTAAGCACAGGCGTCAACCTCGCGCTTCCAGGACCTCCGACAGCCGTGGGGATAATCGCGGCCCCAGCAGGGTTCGAACCCCGCACCTCCATCACAAGGATGTTACAGGGCGTCACCTCCTCCCCGGGCTCCTCGTCCGGCTGCAGCTTCCGGTAGCGCGACCTCGGGCAGCCCGGCGGCAGCAGGCCGCTGATGCTGCCGATGCTGCCGGCCCAGCTGGTGGCGATGGAGGTGCCGCCGCCATCTTCAGGGTTGGGCGTTGGGTGGGATGGGGCGGAGTGGAAGTTAGGGGAGCAGGAGTGCGTGGCGTTCGAGGACGAATTGGAAGTCGGAGGTTCGGGCATGAATCAGGGTTTCAACAGCGTCGTGTGTGTGTGTGTGTGTGTGTGTGTGTGTGTGTGTGTGTGTGTGTGTGTGTGTGAGAGACAGAAAGAGAGAGAGAGAGAGAGAGGGGGAGGAGATGAAGGTGAGGAAGGATTAAGTTGGTGTGCAAAAGACACAGAGACCCGCGCCGGGGGGCTGTGCGCACCGTCCTGCACCTCCACCACGTCTGTGAGGCAGGCGTAGAGCTGCACGATGTTGGGGTGCTGCACTGTGGACAGCACCGCCATCTCCACCGCATCCTTCAGGGCCTGACGACACAAGATGAGACCAGGGAGGGCGAGGCGGGCAGAAAGCTTTCAAGAATTCAAACAGTACGCGGCCGGGTGCGGCAGGGTGGGTGCAGAGGAGATTGCAGGAGGCGGGTTGCGGCGCTGCTGCGCGATGCAAGGGTTCTCGGTAAGCCCAGCCAGAGGCCAGAGTCGCACGACGGAGAAAAGCTGCTGTGCTGAGCTGGAGCATTTGGCGCGGCGGCTTCGGGATGGGAAGGTGCTCCCTGGCGCCCGGCCGCATATAGGTTTCCGAGGCGGGCGGCCTCACCTCGTGCTCGCTGCTGCGTGTGTACATGATCTGGGGC